CCCCAAAACCCCAAAACCCCAAAACCCCAAAACCCCATTTATCCTGACAAATATTGAAAATAAAATTAATGCAAGAAGAAAACATCAAAAAAGTTGCCCAGAACCTTACTCCCAATGAGAAGCATGTCTACTGGCAGGAACTGTGCAATAAAGAAGACTGTAGCAGAGATAATTTCGAGAGCAAGGATAAAATAGAGATTTATAACTCCTTTAAAGCTAAATCTACCAAGAGAGCTAAGCTAGACCAGTTTAACGAAAATGCAGGCAGAATGTTCACCGTTGTGACAAATACTACAGCTGTGGTGAAGCCACAGCCCGGTATGGGATGTAAGCTCAATTTAGTTAATCTATAGCAAAAGCTGAAGACCATGAACATCTGAAGAAGCATTATAAGAAAGGGCTTAAATAACCTGAAGTATTCAAACCCAGGAGGAGTTAGAGTACTTGCTAATACAAGTATGGGAGAAACTCTTGGGAAAGAATATCCTAAAGAGAAAAGCTGTAAATCTTCCAAGAAGATCAACAAGCTTGAAGCCAGAATAGAGCATGAGAAAAAGATGAGAGAGCTAGCTCAGAAAGAGGTGCAAAGACTTAAGGCTGAGGTTAAGAAAATGAAGTAACAAAATTCTATAAAATTGGAGGAGTCTAAAACTAGCATAGTTCTCAAAATACTTAATATCTACCAGAAAAATCTAATCTCCAAACTAGCTTTAGCATATTTTGATCGATGGAGACGTAAAAGCCAGAAAAAGCTGATTTATTTCTTAAAAATTAGAATTCACAGGAATCTCTAGTGAAAATCCAACTTGGAATCCCAGAAATTTTACATTTTATTTGGAAATAATTCTTTCTTGAAGGCAAAGTGGAATCAAATACCTATAAGGTGACTTCACTTTGTCTTTCAAAGCTGAATCTTGATGTACTTTGAAAAATATCTATATGCACACTAATTTCTTGAGTGCATTTTATCTATTATTTGTTCCTGAGAAGGTGCATTAAGAAATAAAATTTCCAGACCCACAATTCGATAGTTTGAATTCTAAAATTTCAATGAACTAGTAGTTCTAAGGGGTTTTGGGGTTTTGGGGTTTTGGGGGTTTTGGG